GATATAGAAACAGCTAAGCTGGGCCTCAGGGAGGACAGAATGACCCATTGGGATTACTCTCTAGTGTCTTTGCTGTCTTTTCAGACGTACCGCGAGCCTGTGTCTGACTACCAAGTCCTGCGGGAGAAGGCTGCATCCCAAAGACGGGACGTGGAGCGGGCACTCACCCGTTTTATGGCCAAGACAGGCGAGACCCAGAGTCTTTTCAAAGATGACGTCAGCACATTTCCATGTAAGAGTCTACTCTAGCCCCTCTGTGGACCCTGTCTTGTCATTTGAGATAATAGCATCTTCCCCTACTCTCAATATAGTAGAAAGAAACAAATGATAAGCTTTGTTCTTATCTTGGGTGCCCCTTGTTCTTCAGATTTCTGGCTCTTTTTCCCAGCTCTTAAGGCCTGTCCCTAACAGGTGACTCAGAATGGTAATGGCCTCTGTTGGGATTGGCTGCTTGAGGTCTGTTGAGTTTGGGTTACCTCAAGAGTAACTGAGCCCTGGGCCTCAGAGGCACTCATGGAGCAGAAGTGGCAGCCCTGGTTGTAGAAGGGACAGAGGCATCAGGGGGCAGGGCAGTTACAGAACACCTGGCAGGCTTTGTGCTTCACCGTGTCCTCACACAGGTACTGTCTCACTTAATTTCCCATCTCAGCGCTACCATTTCGCCATGTGACCAAGTCACTTCATTTCCATAGGCCTCAGGTTTGCCAAAGATGAACAAAGGTGATTCATTCATTCAGCAAGTGCTTGCTGTGTGCCTGGCCCTGAAAGAATAGCAGCTAAGTTATTAAGTGCCAGATGAGGTGCCAATCATTTCCCCTAAATCAGCAGTCGTCAACCTTCCGGACCCCTCGGACCACTGCCCTAAGTCATCTCATTACATCCTCTCAGGAGCCCAGGAGTTAGGAGCTGTTATTACCATTACAGGAAGCCGAGGCTTATAAAGAGGAGAAAGGAGGTAACTTGCCCAAGGTCACACAGCTAGTAACTTTCAAACCTAGGCTCACCTGATAATCACATTCTACCACACAGAGAGACCTTCTATTATTTATTTATTTCATCAGCGACTTCTCCTCCTCAGTGCTTTTTGGAAGTGCCTAAAGTGCTCTCTAGTTCAGTGGATACACTGACCTGCAGGGAGTTCTCAAATCCTTCAGACTGATGGGCTCAAAATCTCTGCTCTGGAAATGAGGCTTACAGGGGTTAACGAGGTGTGAGATCACTAAGCTGATGCTTTACTAGGATCCAGCCCCAGTTCTGTCTGATTTTAGTCCTGCAGGACTCGGGAAAAGTGGGCTCTGAAGTTACACTGCTCAAGTTCAAATCCCACTCTGCCACTTTCTGTGTGCTGGAGGAAGCCACGTAACCTCTCAGCGTCTCAGGTTCCTTCCCTGTAAAACGGGGTACTGAGCCATTACAGTGGATTCAGATGGTACGTGTGAGGCCTGTAGGACATAGTGCTTGAGTGTGTCAGCCATTATTGTCATTGGGTGCTGCCCGCTGCTCTGCTGTGAGGCCCTGAGCCAGCTGCAAGGACTCCATGACAGTGGAATTTGCTCTCTTCCAATCCCACAGTGATTGCTGCCAGACCTTTCACCATCCCCTACCTGACGGCTCTTCTTCCATCCGAACTGGAGATGCAGCAAATGGAAGAGACGGATTCCTCGGAGCAGGATGAGCAGACAGACACAGAGAACCTCCCCCTTCATATCAGCACGGTGGGTCCTGCTTTCTGCCTGCTTCAGAGTAGCCCCCAAACTAGCCCACACTGCCCGCAGCCTGTCACCCTGGGACCTGGACATGACCTACCCCAGGTCTCTGCCTTCATGTTAGGGACTTGCAAGATGGGCTCATGATGATCCGACTGTGATGGGATCTCTAGCTTGAGAGGCAAGTCCTGTCCTGGGGCTTCATTCATTCATTCATTCAATAAATACTGAATGAGCGCCTGCCAGCGGCAGGCACAGTTCCAGGTGCTGGGGAATTAGTAGGAGACAAAACCGACAAAATTTCCTACCCTCATGGAGCTAAGGTAATAAATTAAGAGATGGGAAGTAGGTATGGGCGCAGGGGAGTGTGGTTTTAGGATGACTGAGAGGGTGGCATATGAGTAAAACCTGAAGGGAACAAAGCTTACTCATCTGGGAGTGGAGCATTCCTCGCTGGGTGAACAGCAGGTGCGAAGGCCCTGAGGTGGGAGCTGTTGTGTTGAAGAACAGCAAGGCCATCAGGGTGGCCGAGTGGCATGAACAGGGAGGAGAGTAGGAAGGGATGCGGTCAGAGAGCTCGTGGGGTGGGGTGCGGGGGTCAGATCTTCAAAGCTATGTTATACGTGGGCTTCCCCACGTTTACAGTGAGATGAGGTTCACCTCATGAAAGAGCAAACATCACTTCCCTTTGTGAGTACAGAGTACTTAAAGGGCCTGCGGAGGTTATCTGACGCTCTAGGGCAGTGATGGCGAACCTTTGGAGCTCGGCGTGTCAGATTTTGAAAAACCCTAACTTCGGTGCCGTGTCACATAGAGAAATTTTTTGATATTTGCAACCATAGTAAAACAAAGACTTACATTTTTGATATTTATTTTATATATTTAAATGCCATTTAACAAAGAAAAATCAACCAAAAAAATGAGTTCACGTGTCACCTCTGACACGCGCGTCATAGGTTCGCCATCACTGCTCTAGGTAACGACATAGGTGAGGTCGTGGCGGTGAGTGAGTCGAGGCTGAAATCATGCCAGGAGCTGCCTGCGCTCTCCTGGACACGGAGACGCCAAGCCATATGGCAGAGTAGACAGACCTGACCCTTGGAGTCAGACTGGTCTGGCTTTATTCTTTTTCTTTTTTTCTTTTTCTTTTTTTCACTGTGCAACCTGCTTCAGTGCCTGCAGCCTTCAGGCACAGGCCGGGCAATGGTTCAAGCACAGCTTGCTCTGGCCTGGGGCACTGTGAGAGACCCAGGGGACAGGCCTGCCATCAATCCAAACCCATGCACTAGTCTGGCTTTAAATCCAGACCGTGCTGCTCCCCGGCACATTACCCAACATCTGAGTCTGCTTCCTCACAGGTACAGACAGGAGCAGGAGCACCTCCCTCTGGGCAGTGGTTCTCAACCTGGGCTGCACATTACAATCACCTGGGAATCTTATTAAAATCCTGATTCCTGGGCCCCATCCTCTGGATATTGTTTCTTTGTTATGGGGTGGGGCCACAACATTAGTAACAAAGAAACAGAATTTCCGGAGGATGAGGCCCAGAAATCAGGATTTTAAAAAGATTTCCAGGTGATTCTAACGCGCAGCCAAGGTTGAGAACCACTGCTCTGGGGGAAGCAGGAGCCCGAGATAAAATGGGCTCACACACAGGTGCCTGGCCCAGGGCAGCTCCCGCCCCACTGCCCCTCCCTGCTATTCTGGGCTGTACCACCACATGCTGTCCTGTGAAAAAATAAGTGGAAAGACTTTAAGAAAAGGATTCTAGCAACAGAGTTATATGCAATCGGTTGGATTTATTATTCTATTGGACTGGCAAATACTGGTATAATCATGGGTTTCAAAATTCAGAATGGACAAAAAGATGTGTGGTGGCAATTCTCTCTCTTATCCTTGTGCCCTGTTACCCACCTTCCCACCTACAAAGCAACCAGTCACCGGCCTCTTTTTTTTTTTTTTTTTGGCCTCTTTCTTATGAATCTAGAGACACCAACACAAACAGCAAGTCGCAGGTGGTTTGCCCCTCGCTGTATGCCCTCATCCATGCAGCTTGGCAGTCATTCCATGTTCGTGTAAAGGAGCGCCTTCACCCCTGCTCAGCCTCCTCATGTCCCAGGGAGGCACCAGTGGATTTAGCCAGGCCCCTGCGGACATTGGTGGTTTTCTATCGTTAGCATTCACACGCATTGCTACAGTTCATTAGGTAACTGGTATTTTAGATCGTTCTTTCATCTGTCAATGGCAGCATATCTCTCTCAAGTTCTCTTGCTGCATAGTTTTTACTTAACTTTACAGTCCTGGTTTCTCCATCTACTTGAACATAAAGGAACTGTTTATTTATTTATTTATTTATTTATTCTTTTTTTTTTAATATATTTGATTGAGTTTTTACAGAGTGGAAAGGAGAGAGACAGAGAGCCAGAAACATCGCTGAGAGAGAAACATCGACCAGCTGCCTCCTGCACACTCCCCACTGGGGATGTGCCCGCAACCAAGGCACACACCCTTGACTGGAATCGAACCCGGGACCCCTCAGTCCGCAGGCCGACGCTCCATCCACTGAGCCAAACCGGTTTCAGCGGAACTGTTCATTTAAATTAGTGTGTAATAGAATTATTTTTCTCTTCCATTTGAACTAGCAGCTAATCCCAGGGTTGAAACTTTTGCTCCCCCATGAGCACTGTACCCGTCATTTATTTATTTAGTGCCTGCTGGCATGTGCCAGACGCTGTTCTGAGAGCTTGGGACCCTTCAGTGAACAGAACAAAGAGCACACCCGCCTTTTAGGAGCCTGTGAGTTGGCAGTGGGAGGGTGACAGTGGCTGGAATAGATAAGTACATCGTTACGTGGTTTATTAAAGTGCTACTGGGGACGGGGAGGGAAGGTCCAGGGCGAAGGGTGGAGGTTTCAGTTTTAGAGTGTTCAGGGTAGACATCCCGGAGAACTGATGTTTGAGCAGAGACTTGGGGGAGGTGAGGGAGTGAGCCAGGCAGCTCTCTGTGGAAGAATGTTCTGGAAAGGGACCAGCCTGTGCAGAGGCCCTGAGGAGCAGCACGGAGGCGAGTGTGGCTGTGGCTGAGGAAGGGGAGAGGGAGAGGAGAGTCACACCAGGACCTGTAAGCAGCTTTAAGACTGGGTTTCAATGGGTGAAATGGGAGTGGGGGAGGCATGGTGCAGAGAAAGGACGTGTCAGGGTTAACTTTTTCCAGGATTGCCGACGGCGGTGAGGAGAAGGGACTGCAGCCGGGGCCGGCAGAGCGTGGACTGTGGACTGTGGAGGGAGGTCAGTTAGGAAGCGTTTGAGATAGTCTAGGCCAGGGACAGTGGTGGGTCCTCGCAGGATGGTCACACAGGGCCACTGGCAGTGGTCAGATTCTGCCTGTAATGTGAGGTAAGGCCAAGAAGTTTTCCTTACCGATTGAGGTGAGCTGTCAGAGAAAGAAAAAAATTAAGAATGACTGGAGTGTTCGGCTTGAACAACTGGAAGGCCAGGAGGGCTGCAGGGAGCGCTGTTTAGGCACAGGGGGCGGTCCGGGGCTCAGTGTTAGGCACACGGAGTTGGAGGTGCCTACCTGACACCCCAGTGATGTTGAGTGGCCGTGGCTGTGTGAGCCTGGGGGTTGGCAGGCAGGTGAGGGCAGGAGCCCATGAGACAGCCGGTGGCGGCAGCCTCAGGGCCTCCAGCAGGTCGAGGCTGGCTTTTAGCACCCTTGTCACCTCCATCCTTATTTCAGGAAACACTGAAGGCACAGCTGAAGTGAACGTCCAGTAACTCTAAGATAAGGTGTTGACCATGGAGAAATGATAGGAGGTGGGTAGTGGGTGGTTACTAAATTAAGCCGTAAAGAACTTTAGAAAGCGTAGGAGCCAGACGTCCCAGGCAGCACTGGTGGTGGTCAGACCTTGTGTCTGGCGTGAGTGAGGGCGATCTTGGGCACTCGCTTCCGGAAGAGCCTCCGGAAGCTCCAAGTCGCCTCGTGGTCCCACCGGGTCAGGTGTTGGAGCGGGAAGCACAGGGTCTCTGGGAGGACGCAGTGGATGGATAGTGGGAGCACGTGCACGGAACCCAGAAGTGACCCATCTCTTTCGGTTCCTGGAGCCTGGCTGTCGCCTGCCTGCTGGGCCAGCGGTCTCTGTGGAGAGCCTGCGTTCATTTCCTGCCATCTGATCGTAGTGTCCTCTGCTCTGGTTGAAGTCAGAGCCTCCACAGACCAGGCATCTCAGTGACAGAACCTTGGCCTAGCACCAGGGGGCGCAGCCCCACCAGCGCCTCTGGTCACTTACAGTCCCTTAGGAATGAACTTGTAGGTCAAGTTCTTCGTGTGATTTTGTCCCCCTTCCTCTGCTATGCTCATTTTACAGAACTTAGAAGAGAGTATAAGTAAGGAAAGGAGAATCAATCACCCATATTCTCAGAACCAGTTTTTTTAAACTTCAACATACTACTTTTTTCCTGTTTACACACAATTGTGATCTTTTAAAAATTTTTATTGGGGTCATATGGAATATTTGTAAATTTATGAACTTTTCTGCAAAATCACTGTCTTCAAAAACCAAACCTGAGAGACCTGATCCCCAGGTGGCAGTGGGGGTATGGGTGACGTTCCCGCATTGGTGCCAGCACGCTCTGGTCTGCTGTAATGTGATCATTGGTACCACGTTGCAAGAACCAGAAACTTGAGAATCTGGGGGGGTGTCTCTGACGCTTTACATCAGCTTTGGTTCAGGGGAGGCCTCTGCATGTGATTGTTCTCACCCCTCTCACCCCTCTCAGTCCTCCAAGGGTGGAAGCCCACTTCCCTTTCTCTTCACCTCCCCAAAGGAGGGGCTTCCTTCTTGAGCACCTGAATTTTAGCCCCAGACCTCTGTCCCTCCCAGGCCGCTGTTCTTTCTAACTCGTGCCCTGTCTTGTCAAGAGCTCAGGGTTCTGTGTTCTGTGCTCCACATCGGAGCCATTGGTCTCACCTTCCTCTCTGGCCAGTGCTGCCTGGGCCTCGTTTCATCGGAGGCCCTTTAGAAAGAAGTGGTCCCCGAGCTTCCAGTCTCCCCCGGAACGGGGCGCTAGCAGTGGTTCCTGCCGTGGGCTGATCGCTTTCCTTATGCCGTTGGTGTTTTGCTTTATTTCGGCTTTTGCTCAAAGGATGACTCTGGAGCCGAGAAGGAGAACACCTCTGTCCTGCAGCAGAACTCCTCCTTGACGGGGAGCCGGAACGGGGAGGAGAGCCTCATCGATAACCCCTACCTGCGCCCCGTGAAGAAACCCAAGATCCGCAGGAAGAAGTGAGTTGGGAGCTGGGTGCCGAGAGGCGCTCTGGCCAACCGAGGTGTCCTCTCTGCTTCAGGGCAGAAAGGAGAGGCCACTCTTTCTTTTTCAGAAAAGTGGGTCTGAACCTCGGGGAAAGCTACTCGAGTGAGAGGAAATATCATCCCTTTCCTTCTCCTTCCTCGTCTGCCACATGTACCTCTTGTTGCATAGAGGTTGAGCTTCCTGCAGCCCCAGGACTAACCCTCACAGCCCTGGAGTTGTTGTCTCCTAGAAGGAGAGCAGGTGGGGCCCCCACGAGGCAGGCTCCATGGATTCCTCTTCTTTCCAGGTCCCTCTCGTGAGCTGAGAAGAAAGCCTGCTTTGTACAGAGATGTGGACACCACGCTCCTGGGGGAGTTAAAGCCGCTGGAGGGGAGCAGAAAGGGGGGCCTCCCGGGGTCCAGCGAGGCTGCTGGGGTGACCAGGCATGCTTTTAACAGCAAATTCTGTGTTAATATTTCCCATTTTCACTGATGTCTGGGTTGAGGAAGATATGATGTGGTGGTAATAATGAGGCTTTCTTAATTAGCCAGGCTGGACTGTGGGCGTAGGAGCAGCTGGCGACTTCATTCATTATCACAGGACCTGACTCCTTTGAACCCGCGAGACCAGGGTAGGCCGCAGGAAGAAGGGGCTGCACCTTCTCTGCTTCCTCCAGAGGACTGTTTGCCTGGCTTCCGTTTCAGGCCCTCCGGGTCCCTTTATTAACTCACAGACAACCAGTTTCTCACCCTAGAACCTCAGTCTTATTTCTCTTCTCACCTGGGCTCCAAGCGCCCTGCTGAGATGACGAAGGTGGCTTTGCCTTCCCACGTGTCACTCCTGGACCTGGGCCGCAGGAGTCAGGAGGAGTGAGCCGGTGTGCACGTGGAGGACGGTGATGCGTCACAGCACACCGACTCTCTCATTGCATCTGGTGGACTCTTCCTACAAGGCAGCGCCCGCTCGTGAGAGGCTGGTGTTTGTTGTCGCTCTGTGGCATGTGTGCTTTGGGACGACTGAGTCCTGCCCCATCCAGGAAAGGTTTTCTCTGACAAGAGCCTCTGCCTGGTGTATTATGCTGTGACTGGCTGGAGAATCCGACCTT